TTTTTTGTAGGTGCATCACTTATTTAGAAAATGTATATTTATTTATATAATGTCGTATGGAATGGAATATAAAACTTCGGTGTGTTTTATTAAATGCCTTTAAAATCGTATATTTCAATTTTACTGAAAGTAAGTTGAAGTCATCTTCAAAGAAAGATACAATGAACAAAATAATTATTATGTACAAATATATTCATTAAAAATAGCAATCTAGTTCAATTAGTCATTAAAAGTAAGTTAAAATTCACTTAAAAGAAATTCAATTAACAGAATAATTTAGCGAATATATCTATTGCAAAAATATTTGACATATTTGAAAAAAATATTTGACATTTGACAGAATTATTCCGGAATACAACAATGGCGGCTATATAGACAATAATTATTTTTACACGTCATTTCCTCAAAAACTCTAATTTCGTAAAACCGCCGTATTATGCATATTAATCTATATAACTAATTATATTTAATGAAGTACAAATTACTAAACTTACCTTCTAAATCTCTTGCTGTCCTTAAAGTATCACAGTTGCTATAAAATTCGTATAATTAACACTCAACATTGACAGCTATTGTCCTACCGCTATTCACAAATTGTTTAAAATTCAATCATATAAAACAATACAACCGATTTACAAAAATCGCGATCTCATTATCAGTCTTTATAATATAATTTTAAAATATATTTTCACTACGAATAATTAATTAAGAAAATAAACGTATATTTTATTTATTTCTTTCGTATCGCTTGAAGCACATTTTACAAACACGAACGCTGTTGTGCAAATTTAAGGTTAGAGCACGACAGACTTGAACATGAATAATGACAGGTGGCAGTGTGTCAAACTGCAGAGCAATTAAAAATGGTTAGGACTATATAAATTTTGAAAAATAATACAACATATTAATTTATAATGTATTTTATTACATAGTTTGGAATTCAAAACAATATACAAAACCATTTAAAATTACATATATGAACAAAATGCAACCAAAATATTGCTTAAAGAATCCCTAAACTTAAGTTAATATTCCTTCTCTTCTACCAATCACCTTGATTAAATAAATTATCCATTCTATTTCTATTCGATACATACATTTAATGCTTATTATTCTTTCATCTTTTTAATAAATATATTGCAAAAATGCTTTCAAATTTATGACTATCATTTATATAATTTTTTTGGTTTGCTTTTATATATCAGTCTTAATTTCATTATACGCTAAATGTTCATAATTAAATTACAAGTTTAACACTATGCTTTGGAAAAAATACTAATTTCTAATAGATATAATTTATAGATATTTTATATACATTTTTATATTCTATTTTATTCAATTGCTAGCAATAGAATAAAATAGTAGATAAAATTTACCCATATATATTTCATTTAAACCATGTTACAAAAAATATGTACAAGAATATTTTACAATCATTTTTAAATTTATTACAAAAATACATTTTTCAATTTAATATGAAAATAAAAGTTGCAAATTTGCTATGCACAAAAAATTGAAAATATTTTAGTATATTATGTCATAAAAGGTGACTGATCTATCAAACAGCCAGTTGACTAGTTAAATATAAATAATATGTAACTTAAAATTCTAAATTATATAGTAAATAATATATAAGTTTCAGAGATTTAACTCACACGCTCTGAATATCGAGTATACTAATGAATAATTGTATTTATACATATGTTTCATCAGACATGTGGATTACGAGCTATGTGCATGAAGAATGAAACCCTGTCACCACATCTTTCACCGCACATGTTGCAAGCAAATGCATCTTTGTAGCCATGGTATCCCATGTGCATTGTGTAAAGTACTTCATGTTTGAAAACCATTTCGCAGTAGCGACATTCAAAAACTTCTGGTGCTTTTGTGGAAGCTGCAGCAACTTCATCTTCACCTTCGACTCTTATTGGTTCTTCTTCAACTTTAACTTTAACAGGAGATTGAGTCACGCTAGAGTCTTCATCTTCACTAGAATATTGACTCTGTGTTGCTAAACGGTCTAATTTGAAAGCTTTACCCTTTCGTCTATTTTTGGATGTAGAATTATTTGATTGACTTCCATCTTTAGTAGTGCGCGTCAAATCTAATGCTGATTCAGCAGATGTTGATGCTGGTGAAGAAACTACTGGTGTAACGGCGGTTCTTTTCGGCGACATATCTACAGGTTCGTCAATAATGATATTTTGAGTGGGTGTTTTCTGTGGAGGTTGCACCAGCTGCGTTCTCATGAATTCATGTTCCACCGGTTTAGGAAGAATTTGATTTTCCTGATTCTCTCTGGGTAGCATTTCCGAAGGCTGTTGTTCTGTCTTACCGGACGATAACATAGGTTCAATATTGTTGTTATTGAACATCAGATTTTGGAAACCTGGGAAGGCAGTGAGCAAAGGTCCATATGGGAACGGAATTCCGGCAAATGGATTCTGGAACATTTGCTGTTGATGAACGTTAGCCAAATTTTGCTGCTCTTCTTGTTGCAATTGTTGTAAACGGCTAACGGGTGTAGTTTGTATGGACATTTGCTGCGGCATATCATCCCTGTTTGGAGTTGGTCTGGCTTTAGGTCCTCTTCTTGTGCCATAAACATCGATGATTTGCAATGGATTCGGCGTACCATCTTGGTTCAAAACCATAGCGGGTTGATGTTTGTATTTTTTCAAGTGTAATTTCAATGAATGACAATACTTACTGACGTAGTTGCAGTCAGCGCATCGATATTGGTAAACGTTTGAATGCGATTTTTTGTGTGAATTCAACATAGATTTATTCACACAACTGTAACGGCATTTATTACATTGGAAAGGTTTGGAACCGGTGTGATTACGTAAATGATATTCCTGATGATGTTTGTATTCAGTAACAAACGGGCATTTCGGACAGTACAATCTCTTCTCAGGTTTAATGTGCTGTTCGATGTGCTTCCAGAAATCAGTCTTAGTTACAGCCACGTAATCACATTGCTTGCATTTGAAAGTCTTCACTTTGCCGTGCGAATTAATTCTCGGCGTGCTCAATAAATCATCATTGTCTTCACCCGAATCATAATTCAAATGCTTATTATCACCTTCATCTTTAGGTCCATCGTCGGAATGTTCACTCTCCCCACAGCTGTTTTCATTGGCCGTCAATTCTGGGGTTTCTGGAAGAATTCCAGATGGAGATTTTGGAGGAGTCGGCGCTTGCAGAGGCAAGCAGGCTGCTGCTGACAAGTGTTGGTGGTAGGCACCCAAAAGGCGGTCTAATTTCGGCGTATCAAAATTTGGAGGCGTCAATGGATTGAACTGGTGTTGCATCATAGGATTTGTGCTTTGCATACGATAATGAGCACTAGGATCGTAGTATGCATTAGGCATTTGCTGGTGGTGAGATTCAATGCTGTCCATGCTTTGGGGACTATTGGGGTTGGAATCGCGACTGCTACTGCTTTCAGTTGAATGGAAAGGCTCACTGTGCTGGATATCGCGGGGTTCGGATTTCTAAAAAAAAAAAAAATAATTAGTCATCTTTATATCACATAGAATAAGAATTTTATTATTAAAAATGTTAATATTGAAAAAAATATCAAAATTATTTTTGTAATATGTACGCACAAATATAACACCATTACAAAATAATTTTAAAAAATTGTAATATTTTAAATTATAATTTGAAAATAAATTTAAATAAAAACTAAATATTAAATTGTTATTAAATAATAAAAATAAAATAAAATAAAATTTAAAAACTGAAAAATGTACGTCGTTACAAGGTAATATTTTTAAATAAATCAAATTAATTTAAAATATTTAGAGAGCACAATGTACTTACGACTTGCATCGGCATCCACTGCTGCTCGAATGCTGTCGGGCCCATGGCTGCTGCGTCCCAACCAACGTGCATCTATAAAATAAACAGAATTTAATAAATATTCCAACACTAACTCAACTTATCTAAAATACAAAATAATATTCATCCACCATAACAGAACTATTTACAAAAATTTTTAGATAACGACCAATTACCAAAATATTATGAAAAAAGAATTTCACAGATACAATTGTTTAATGATACATTGAAACCATTGTATATATCGATATACCAAAATGCTTTGTAACTACATTTATATTCTTTTATCACTTGCACAAAATTTGTAATATGTCTATTAAACAATGTATATTCGATTTTTTATCAGAAACTTGCCAAATATTATTCACATAATTATAAACACCAAATCCAAATGTGAATGAATTCCAAGCGGAATGTGTGATAACTACATTGCATCACCGTATCAAAATTTCAATAATATATTTAAAATTAAGTTTATAAATTTTGAATGAATTTAAAAACAATTCGAAACCATTAGCAAAATATAACAAAAATGTGAAACAGAATAAGAATTGAATTTTCTCAAAATATGTAGAATTAATCAAAATTTGTTTTGACTTCTGAATAAAATAGATAAATGACGGAAATTCTTTCAATACGCAAATTGGGGAAATGAATCATCAAAGTATGAATACATTCTTATCTTAAAACCGGACAAGTCAGAATAAATGTATCACTATCTAATATATTTCATTACATCACGTAGCCACTTATTACTGATAAGTGTTAAAAATGGATTCAAGAAAATTATATTAAAATATATATATTGTGTAATTATGTAAATTTAAGAAAAATATTGTAAAAACAAATGGCATTAAAGATAATATTGTATATAAGTAGAATCATCACAATATGACAAATTGCTCCTCGGTATTGGTACTTATTTTTTTCCCCTCAAATTGTGTGAATATGATTCATTCCTACAAAGTTGAACAAGAAGCAATTCCGGAACTTTAATAAAATCTACAACAAACCGCGTTAAATTAAACCACCCCAGACACATCAGGTATTCAAGAAGGCACGTGAGGGCCCCCTTGATTCAATTGATTGAATATAAAGGTATAATCTATGATCGCTCTTGGGCACGCGAACTAATATATCCGCCTTGTTGCCACGTAATGCTAAGGGAAGCAAAATAAAAATGGAAAAACGGGCACGCTTCCATTTTCTAAATCCTGAGCAAAAAATGCGGTTTAGTGTTATTTATGCACCCCTGATGAAATAAATCTAGCGAGGACATATAGAGCTTCTCAAAGTGGAGGAATAAAAATAATTTATGTTGGCAATTCAACACATTCTAGATTAATTATAGCTATTTGATCTAGAAACATGTTATTGATAGTATAATTTTGAAATATAAATTTTTATTTAATGAACAATTACCAATAATTGTAGAAATTATTAGATATCACAACTTTGCAATCCTCTTTTCAATTCCACCCCCTAGACTTCATACAAAAATCTTGTAAAATTACATATATTACTCAAAAGCGAACGATTTTTTTTTTGCTGAAATAATATTCATGTAAAATAATAGAAATGTAATAACAATAATAACAAATAATAACAATTCCAAATAATAACAAATTTAAGTGTCAAAAACACCCCAATTCCAAATAATCATGAATTTAATTATATATAAAATAAGTTACATACTAATTTGAACAATTATTTCAACAAACATTTTTTAGTCAAATTTTAATTTTGAGAATTCATCATCAATCAATAATACAGCACGCGTCGTCATTCGTACGACTAAGTCACCCTTATAAACTACCCCTCTGTATAAAATACAGCCTGTGCCGTAAAAACGTCCAATGAGCAAACGCGCACCTAACATTCTACAAAAAAGTACTTGATGAAAATGGATTCGGTGCGAAATCCTAATAGGATTTGATAAAATTAAACTGATTAAATTGTGTTTACGCAATCAACATGGAATCTGGCAATTACATCGATAACGATATTTTTGTTTATATTTTTCTCAAGTTAATTTCTTATAGGATTCGAAATAATTAAAAACATCTCAAATTACGTAGAATATTATTTTTGAAAGTTTATTGCATGATGTCATTTAGGTATCCAGTTTCGATATTAGCATAGAAATTAAAAATGAAAACATACGTTTGTTATTGAATAATAATTGCACATAAAATTAATCGTGCTTAAGTTAATTAGCCATGGAGAAAACTATATTATTGCAATACCGATAACATTTTTACTTGGTGAAAATGTGATCGTAAAATAAGATTTGATTAAATTGGGTTTATGTAATCAACATGGAATCTGGCTATTACAACGATAACGATATTTTTATTTATATTTTTCTCAAGTTAATTTCTGATTAAATTCGAAATAATTAAAAACATCTCGAATTACATATAATATTATTGCATGAAAAGCTTATTGCATGATATAATTTAGGTATCAAGTTCCGATATAAAAACATTATTTCACATACGATTGTTTTTGAAATAATTGTACCTAAAACAAATCGCGCTTAAGTTAATTAGTCATCCACCTCTCTGATGTCATAATGACGGAAACTATATTATTGCAATATCGATATCATTTTTCTTTAGGCGATGTAATTGTCCCAAACAAACCGCATTCACTAAAAATTTCCGAACAACACGTTCCGGATCCAAATAAAACACGAAGATTCTTTGGAAAAAATAATTAAAAACAAAATATAATTACGACATTCAAAAGCTACCGCTGTCGCCTCGGGAGCCGCATTCTGAAAAATATTCCGAAATTTACCGATAACTCCATATTTTAATGTGGAATATAGCAATTAAGCGATTGCATTGGGAAAAGTACTCGTTATAATTAGATTTGGGAATCAGATAATTAATAAAAGTCTTAAAATAGATTAGTGGGAACAGAAATTTGCATAAAAGATATGGTATGCATTTTCAATTAGTAACATATGTGATTGAGGGGCCAATTTTTGCATAAAATACAAATATATTCATATGAGTTGGTAGTAACAAACTGTCTAAAAGCTATTTATTAACTTCCCGTAGGGCAAGTTATAGTAATCGCAAAAAAATAGAAAATGACAATTTTTATATATCTTTACGTTTGAAAACCTTCTGAACATTTTGGCATACCTTAGAAAAATGGATGCATGTGTGTGTGTGTTCGGATACAAATTTTCGTCGACGATTTCGGGAACACGGATGAAGCGATTTGAATAATTCAAAAAACATTCGATTCGTATAGATAAGGAGGCGTGCTGATTAGTTTTTGGCAAAGGCAGGTCCAAAAACGGTAACTCAGTTTTTAAAAGAACGAAGCGTCCGATTTGAATAATTCAAAAAACATTTTACTTGTATTAACAAGATGAAGAACTCAATCAATTTTTTATGAAGGTAGGTCTAGCGGAGATCTAGTAAAAAAAGTAAAAAAAAAATGCCATGTGGCGGTCAAAAATGATCATTAGACATATGTACATCAAATTATCAGATATTTTATAGAGATTTTAACAATAAGTATAAATTTTGTTTACATTCCTATGGGTTTCGTACCAATGTTTATCCGTTAGACGGCGACGCGGTGCTTACGCGCTTCGATATTTCGTCTCTATGCAGTTAAAGTAGTACGATTTTTTTGAAAAAAAGTTCAGAATTTCCAAAATATTTCAAAATAAATTTTTCTTCAAAAAGTCTTTTTTTTAAAAAAAAGTAAGTTTTTATCAAAAATTTATAGTTTCTGAAAAATCTAATTTTTTCAGAGTATTTTTTTTTCAAAAATGTTAATCTTTTTAAAAAAAATAATTTTTGGTACGGGAAGTTTCAGCATATTGCCTTAAGGCACAATGCCATGCGCCCCACTAGTTTGCTATGAGATCATTACGCAAAAAATCTAACATCACGTTTGTGTTATGAATGAGACATCAAAGAGATGCACTTTTGATAAAATTGTGATTTGAGATTTGTGCGTTTTGTAGGTCAGAGGTGTAAGTTTGTAAAATGTCTGTTCGCACAGCAAATACCTAGATTTTTGAGAGTTTGTTACTACCAACTCATACGAATATAGACCCGTAGCATAAGCATTACCATAACATTTCTATTTTATTCAAGAATGTTTATGTAGGTGACTGGGTTTTCTGGCAAAGAGAAATTTCATATCCAAACATTTTTTGGTGAAAAATGTGTTCCTCAAATCGTCCTTAAAGCTTTATAAAAACACTAAAAACATATGCAAATATCTGTTTGCCAAAAGTCGAAGACCTCATTCTGAGAATCATCTATTGTTATGTTAAAACTTTCTGACCTTTCTCCGCCCATTGCAACGGCTCCTTCGTACTTGTGTATACAACTCCATGTATTTTACTGTCTTAACAAAAGAGTTAAGCCATACTAAATCATAAATTTCGTAACTAGAGTACAATAAACGTCATGCAGTGCACGAAATTCGACTAAAAATTTCACGTCATACACAAACAGCCGAGCGAACGCCATAAACCCGGTCCGCCTACAATAAAACTGGAGCGCACGGCTTCGCATCTCCTGGTCGGGGCTGAAAATCATTATCTCAGGGTCGAAGAAAAATTAAACCCCATAATATTTATATGCGCGACTTACGAATGGAAAAAATTAAAAGCTTATTAGAGAAGGGGTTCCGTCGATTTTTTCTTAAAGCTTAAAGAAATTCTATTACCATAACGGTCTTAATCCTATCGGGCAGTTGACTTTTGCGTACGGAGGCCATAAAAAAATAACAGTTGAATGGGAATAAAAATAAAACTCGGACTATGGTGGTTGTAAAACTTTACGGTAAAAGGGTGGAGGTAGGTAAGGAACAGTTACATAAATTCAGGGTTTGTTATTGATCTGAAAGTAACAAGTTTTTATATTGAACGGTAAAAATTAGCAGCGGGGGGTGGCGAAATTATTATTGGGTGGATTAAGTTTAGAGTCAAAGTCATGTTTTATAGAGAGCAATTTAAATTTAACGGCGAAATAAAAATTCGAGTCAAACTGAAAAATATTCCATGCTAAATAATAAATCATTTTTGACTATCGAAATCAAGTAACATTCATTTACTTATTGAACTATTCATTTACTTATTAAAGGATCAATATCACAATTCAGAAATTTAGCACGTGAATTGCCATGTCAGTCATGTGTGTCTGACGCTAAGAAATTCTACATGGGCCATGTCAAACATATAGGGTCCGCCAAATATTTTTTTTTTAGGGGGTACGACCTACCTCTTTACATTTCACTTTAAAATAGAAAAAGTGAAAATATTTAGTGGTTTTTTAATAGAATTTTCAAACAAAAAGAAAATTGGCAAAATATTCAGTAGATTTTTTAAGGAATTTTTCAAAAAAAGCTAGTTGGCGGATCCTATATATGTCTGCGATATTATGCAATTTGGTGAAACAATAAAAACAGTATCAGTCTGTGTTTTCCAGGAATTTGGGCAAACAAATTTTCCTTTGATACGTTAAGCTTTGTTGATACATTTTTAACTGAATTATCTAATTAAGTTACCATGGCCCATGTGAAAATACTTGATATTATTGTGGCGGTTAACGTGTTCTTATATAACATTGAAAATATTATTAACCTGCATCTCATTTTGAAAGATTATCATGGAATTTAGTATTTGTTTATCTAGAAAAAAACCTAGATGAAGAAATTCTGCATTACAGCACAAACGTTAATATCTTATTCAAAATGTATCTAAACAATTTCTAAAAATTTAACCCCATCCATAAAGAATTTTGAGATTGCGATCATTTAACAAACATAAAAATTTTCAATATGTTTAATTTATCATAATGTAAACTTTCACGCCTTGGTTTGCAAGATAAATCGTGGGTGCAAAAAATGTTTCAACTTCTGAACACGCGTATTCTTAAATAAATTAAACTTTAATATAAACAAAATCTTCTAGTGAGGCAAACATTCCGTTGGACAGAAATTAATAACAAAAAATAATTTATCTTGATTGTTTAATTTAAAAAGCAACGAAGGAACGTATGTGTTGATTTTTAACTCTGCGCAGTGATAAAAGTTTATATTTGGTGGTAATTGAGTGTTTCTCAAACTGTGAACTAAACAATTGTAGGAAAACAATTACTGTATGATATATAAGAGTAATGGTAAGAGATCAGGATAATGAAACTAAGTTTGGGAATCTCTGATTAATTTGAACGTGTATTATCTATTTTGCTAGAAAACTTTGCTAAGTTTCACAATCTTTTATACCAATTGAAAAACGTCAAATTTAACCTAAGCAAAATTAGATCAATAATGATATAAATATGATCAAACAAACAAATACTTACAAATCAAAGATCAAATTAACAAAATGAACAAAATTTAAAATTGAGACAATATTGAGCAAAGTACATGAATACAAGAACGTCGGTTTGTAAATTATGCAATAAAAATTTCCTAATTATAAGAAGTATATGATAAATATATAAAGTTTGAGAAACAATGGTCTTATTTAATTCTGCGTCTTTCTACTGTAGAATTTATGTTTAATCCTAACATTCAAATGATATTTTGGATCATGAAGTTGTTAGAAAACATTCAATTTTGAATTAGTATTTTATATACAATAATCCACTAATTGACATTATTATACTTAATAATTAATTACCAAGCTTCGCAGTTATCAAACACTAATTAAACTAAATGCATTAAAAAACTTAAGATTGTTTTTGCGTAATGTTAATCTATAAAAATAGCACTCACAAAAATATTTTAAATTCTTAATCATTACGTAACACGTTAGATAAAAAAACTGCAGCATAAAATCGATAACAATTATGCGTAAATATTTGAGTGATTCGGGATTAAATAATAATAATTAAAAATGAAATTTATAAAAATAAAATTTGAGATAAATTTTGTGAGTACATTTTTACAGAAATATATATTAAATTAAAAATTGTAAAACAAGCTGAATAAATATAAATGAAGCATGCGTGGTAATATTTCGAGTTAACATTTTTTACGTAAAATCTATAAAACTTACCATAAACAGAAAAAACAAACAAAAAAAATTGCAGCATAAAATCGATAACAATTATGCGTAAATATTTGAGTGATTCGAAATTAAAAAATATCAATTAAAATTGATAAATTTTATGAGTACATTTTTACAGAAATAGATATTAAATTTAAAATTATAAAACATGCTAAATAAATATAAATGAAGCATGCATCGTAATAATTTCGAGTTAACATTTTTTACGTAAAATCTATAAAACTTACCATAAACAGATTTAAGCACTATCAACAATAATTATCACTATCAACACTGCAATTGCATAAATACCCAAGTCTTTGATAAAACATTCACTTATTTTTTATCAAATATAGTCTTCGAGTTTTATTATTTTTATCGATAAAAGCTCAATATTTTTCACAATGCGTACTAAACAAGAGTTAAAACAACACTAAAATTTATTACTACGAAACCTCCTTCGCCGAAAGCGTGCGCGATCCGTAACAGAGATCGACTTCGGATCGATCCGTGACGACTCGGTGCCATGTGGTAAAAGAGGAGGCGTGGCTTGCCCACCGAAATTCGTCGTCCCTTTCTGGTGAATGCGTAGCTTCTCGCTCGGCCTGGAGTGTTTATTGTGCGGCATGAGGGCGAAGTCTAATCGTTTACAATGAATAGTAAAAAACCTAATCAAAGCCATTGAGATGAATTAATAGAATATAAATACAAATTCAAATAGATAGTATTTTTAATATTTTCGGAATTCTAAATAAGTAACCTCCATAAATATATTCCGGCATAAAACAACTCTTTCATGGCATATCTGTTAAACGTATGGACTCGTGTGGACGAGAACGTGGGTTCAAATACCACTCTGAACAACCTGACATCGATGTCCACTTTCACTTAAAAATATTTATGAAATATATGGTTCTAATTGAAAAAAGCCTATCTCGAGCACTGCTATGAGAAATGGCAATGGGAAATCTCTTAAACTAGTCTTCCCTGAATCGAGTTGGAATTTAACTCAACCCACTGACCTGCCCTAGGGCAGTACAACCCTTTATTATTAATATCATTGTTATTATTATAAAAGAGCTATAAGAATGTATAGTACAATATCTGTTTGCGAGATGCACTTCTTTCTATATATGCTGCAATTTTTTGCACTTTTGTTATATGTCTATTATTATTACGATAATTCTTCATTCATTTAAACTTCTTTTTTTTATTATATTTTTAACAGCAATCAGAACCTTACGTCCTATGAGCTGTTGGGCTGAAACTTCTCCTTACTTCGTATTTTTTAGATGGTAACCCATGGTAACAATAGTTAATCTATCCATATTTGATGATTTTTGTTATTAGACTTAATCTAATAGGGCTGTCTTTTTTTATTGGTGCAGCAATGTCGGGCAAGGGCTATTTTCACTTGCAAACATATTGCTATTTACATTTCCAAGTGAAAATCGTTGTCACTGCCGTCTGACACCAGGCTGCTCGAAGTGGGTATCGAACCGGGGACCTCTGAAACAAGTCCCGTCGCTCTTAACCGCTTACCTACGGCACAGCTTTTTGACGGTTTGTTACTACCAGCTCATACGAATGTAGACCCGTAACATAGCATTGCCATAACATTTTTATTTTATCCAATAATTGACCTCTTAAATTTATTAAAATACCAATGTCATGCGCTTCTGGAGAAAAAACATTTAAACCAGATTCAGATGTTTATATTTTCTAAAAATTAACAGAAAATTAATAAATTTGCCTAAAGGTATAATGCAAGATTAAAAGATTTCAAAGATGAATTGAATATTGCAATTAACGATCTAAAAAAATCAGATTAAGTTGGTGAGGAATTAATATTAATTGGTAAGTTGGAGAAGTATTAGTCTGCAAGAATTTGGAAGAAACACACAAAACATTTAAAAAAAAAAGCTAAGCTATTTACGTGAATTAACGTATAAAGCTATTTTACTAATATTTATAGTTGTCTTTCATGAGTGTGGAAATTATGAAATTTAAATATTAAGAACTTACTTTTTATCTGTATTTGGGAGCACCGTACAAATAACTCATCAAATTTAAAATATTCCCAAGTCACTTCAAACATGTTTAATTATCCGGAATTCACAATACAAATCAAAGTGCCAAACATCTTTTTTATCAGTGACGATTTTTAGCATTTATAAAACAATACATTGTTTCGTTCTATGATTATTTTATTTTTAGCAATGCTCTTTATTATCTGTATATGGTTTTATTATATTCGATAACGGCTATTGCATAATAAATGTCATAGGAGCACATGCAAGGGAATAGTTTATTAGTGTATTAAATAATATATTTGTATGAATTTTTATATAGTTAGTTTGCAGTCATTATTTTAATTATTAAAAAAAATCACACAATTTTTAATAATATGATTATAGACTAACCTCACATAATTTTTTGTTATACTGCAATTATAAGGTAAAACTTTTCTTTTTGTGAATGTAAATGCGTCTAGATCCAATATATTACCCAAATTTCATGTCGGAAGTTATAAAATATTCAAAGTCAGAAATAAGGATAAAATTAATAAATTATGGATGCAAAAAATTAGAAAAAATACATTTCATTATTTTTCATATATACATTTTCCTTCTGCAATTTATTTGTATCTCGTTTCTGGTGATGATGAACACAATCATCCCTTTTTACGTCATTCACTATTTTGGACTTTATGTCCATTTTTTCTTTACCATTACACATCTTGGCATCTATTGCTTTGAGTTGCAAGTAAATTAGTGCATATATAAAAATGAGTAATAATTTATCAGTACAATTCAAGTGCATCATATATCGTTTTATAATAGCGATAAAAAGTCACGCGCATTGGGAAAATAAGGATTTGCATCATACACGCGCGGTACATTGATAATGTCGCCTCATCCGTCGGAAATAGATACAAAACAACGTCACGTTGTTCGTTTTGATACAAAAGTTAAAAAAATATAAAAAAAATCTAAAGTTGTTAAACCAATTGTGCAAATTAAAGCTTCACGTTTTATTTATTACAGTTTATAATGAGCCGATGGTTGAAATACTTGTTAACCACATAAATTTAAATTCTAAACATGACTGACTATTGTTGTGATATAATTTATTAATTAATAATAGAGACCAAACCAAATTCTATTTTAAATTTGTGCTCAACCCATATCGTGTATAAAATACAGTTTACAAACGAATTTCATAACAGTCGAATTACAATAGCAGATGTACTTGTGAGTAAAAAATTAAATTTAAAACAATAAAAATTGTTTTAAATTTGAATTACCTAACCTAAATATACTAAAGTGTCACTAAAACTGAATTGGAAATCGAGGTTTTATAATATCCAGTAAGTGTCCCATTTATGTACAAGAAAAAGCAAATGATGTAGATGATTTTCCGGAAAATTTATTCGAGGGAACAAAACAAAAGAATCTCTCAACTACTGAATGGTGATTATATGGTGCAATATTTTAAAGAATGATTGCAAGTTTGTATAGTTTTAAAACATTTTACAATATTGCGGATTGACAATTTAAACAAAGTTTTTCTCGTGAAATTAGGTAGACAGTGTTTTTATAACGATCATGAAATAACGGTAAAGTACTTCATTTTTTAAGTTAAATTTTATTATATGTGTTCAAAAAACTATCTGTTTCGTTAAAACCATTACAAAATTTTACAGATATTCTATGAAAATTGAACTTTAAAAACAATATCATAAAATGTGTCAATTATTCCTAACTGTATCTGTCTCGAAAGCCACTTTCTTTTCCGACGATGATATATTTGTCTACATACCAGAACGAACGATCGTGTGCTCTAATAGAAAAAATCATAACTATTCATATTCAAAAAATTAGGTAACAGAAAAGATACTAAGTACAAAGAATTTGACCGTACTTTTTCTTTGAAACAGTTTTTCAAAATTCGGGAGCCGTAAAACTATTTATGATTTTATTGTATGTCATTCATCCGAGACGGCGTTATTGCTTATTGGTACCATATTTTTTTCGAGTCCATAAAAAACGCATGTTCTTTTGGTTTTTTTCTGTCATAAGTCCTAATCATGTAGTTTAATTTTTACAAATACACTATGGTAATAATTACTGAGAAATTTGGGTGACCGATATTTTTTATGGACTCTACTTTTTAGGTATTTATGTTCCGTTGTAAAAAGAAGAAGAATTTTTAGGTTTGACAAAAGAGTGTGCAAATATGTGGTTACAAATAATGTTGTCAGGGTCTTGATAATTGCATAATATTATATTAAACGAAAGATTTTTGACAACTTGATTATTAGCTGGGAAATAAATTTTATGTATCAATTCTACATAATGTGGAAAATTTGATTACATATATACAATCCCACATTATAAGAAAACAAATCAAAGAATTTTTTTTTAAACATTCAAAAATATGTTAGGAGTTCAAAATATGTAAAAACCTTAACGATTTACACGGTCTTTTTGTACACGGTTTTGATATAACACGGTTTGAAAATTGAATATTTTTAATTTTTTTACACGATTTTATTCCATTTAGCACGATTTGAAATTTTATGTACTTAATTTTTTTTTTGTCAAATTTAATTTTTGCGAAGTATGTTCATATCACAAAAAAGTATTTATGAAAGAAAAAAATCTAAAACCATCGATAGTATCGATAGTTTGCGAACACAAGCTTAAAGATTTAAGTGAATTCCCCTTTAGCGCGTACAAACAATTTTTACAGGTCAAAGCAAATGTGAATAGCACTAATTTAGGGAAACCTTAAAATTTGAATAAACTATTCTTTTCGTTCACAACATAGTTTTTTAGTTCCTGAACTTGCCATACATTTAATTTATATTAATTTTAAGATTAGAGTGCATATCTTTTTTATCATTAATTACTATGCTTGTGAAAATAAGCATTATATATTTGATTTAATAAAATAAACATGAATTCTTGTTCTTAAAAATTCTTGTTTTTCACTAATTTTAATAGGAATCTGGAACTTACTGGAACGAGAATTTACTGGAACCAATCTACCGTGTAAAAACAGACTTAGGTGTATATATATATATATATATATATATATATATATATATATATATATATATATATAAAAGTAGGTAGATCATTATTATATACAATCTATAAATATAGACTGTTCTCTACTTGAATTAAAGACAAGTTAAAAATTAAGAACGTGCAAATAAAATAAATGTTATAGTCTTTATTCCCTCAGCATCCGTATCGGAATAAAATCAATCGTAACTTCTAGACAAAGCTGAAAGGCAAACGTTTTATTTACCGACTCGCCGGTTTTCATCCTCAGCGCAAATATCGGAAAATTCTTTAGCGCTCGTTCTTTATCTCCCTTGTGAGAAAATGTGAAAATGTATGTGTGTTCTCATGGCAACGCCCTTCGCGACTTGCAAGCGTCGCGTTGTTGAAAAAAAGGCGA